ACATTGCTCAGTGTTCCCACGGCCGGCAGCCTGATCCATCCCTCACCTATCTAATGGAGTTAGGAACCCATCGTGACTGTTACCTAGATGCCTCATTCCACTGAGGTTGCAAAATAATTCCTTCTGACTTTACTAGCTGGGATTCCTCCAAGAACTTCCCTCGCCAAAAGCTTGTCTACCCAGAGCCTGGGAAGGTGAGCTTATCTGAAAAAGGGGTCTTTGCGGGTGTGATTAAGTGAGGGCTTTGAGATGAGACGGTCCTGGGTTATCTAGTAGCCATAATATAATAGCTATAATATAATGACGAATGTGCATATAAGAGAAAAACAGAACGACACAGGTGCAGAGAAGGCCGTGAAGGCAGAGGCAGAGATTGGACCTGCGGAGCCACAGACCGAGGGACGCCCAGACAAGCAGAAGCCGCAACCGTCAAGGAAGGATCCTCCCTGGAAGTCTCTGAAGGGGACTGCCAACACTGTGATTTCAGATTGCTGGTGTCCAGAATCCTGTGAAAATTAATTTCCATTCTTTTAAGCCATGAAGTTTGTGGTCATTTCTCACGGCAGCCGTGAGAAACCAAGACATCCATGAAGTTACTCGGAATACATTGTGCACAGGAAAAATAGGACAAATGCTTGATTTTTTCCCCTCTGTATTTGCCAGTTCATAGAAAAATAAAGGGTTGTCCCCACAACCTCCAGAGTGGACCGGAGAGTTTTCTTTCATTTCTTTAGGACCATTGTGAGCCCGCACACGTCTCCACTCACGTACTTGTGTGAATAGTACACACAGTTTTGACCCATTGCAGTTACTCCTTTTGTGATATTGTTCTTCCGATGCTTAAGTCGTCCCAGGAGCCCCTTAACAATGGTGCTAGGGTTTGTTTGTTTTTTTGATGTGACACAGGAGTTTTAGATTTTCTTGTTTTCTGGCTTAAAAAGATACCCCAAGTTCAGCATAAATATTCTTGCCCCAGATCTGGAGTTAGCCATTTCTCCAAGGAACTCTGATTCCTTGTAGCAGAAAATGGTGTTTAGAGACCACAGTCTGGTTACAAGGGTGCTCATTGCTGCTGGGGTATTGTTGCTAGGACTTCTCATGGACAGATTTAGGAAATTCATGCTTTTTAGAAAGAGAAAAGGAATTTATAAATTTATACTGATATTTCCAGTTCAAATGTATATAGCTTTTATTTTATCTATTTATTTATTTATTTATTTTGAGACAAAGTCTCACTTTGTCACCCTGGGTAGAGTGCTGTAGCGTCACTGCTCACAGCAACCTCCAACTCTTGGGCTTAACTGATTCTCTTGCCTTAGCCTCCCAAGTAGCTGGGACTACAGGCACCTGCCACAATGCCCTACTGTTTTTTGTTATTGTTGTCATTGTTATTCAACAGGCCCTGGCCAGTTTCATACCCAGCAGCCCTGGTGCATGCGGTCAGCACACTAACCACTGAGCTAAGGGTGCCAAGCCCAAATATGTAGCTTTGAAATTTTTATTTGGTTCATGCCTGTAATCCTAGAACTATGAGAGGCTGAAGTGAGTAGATCACCTGAGCTCAGGAGTTCGTGACCAGCCTCAGCAAGAGCAAGACCCCATCTCTACTAAAAATAAAAAAAACTAGCCAAGTGTTACAGTAGGCAGCTATAGTCCCAGCTACTTGGGAGGCTGAGGGAAGAGGACTGCTTGAGCCCAAGAGTTTGAGGTTGTGGTGACCATGACACCATAGCACTCTACCCAGGGCAACAGAGCAAGACTCTGTCTCAAATAAATAAATAAATAAAATTTTATTTGGATCTCTGTTTTCAATGCTGAAAATCTTGTTACTAAGAATATTCACATAATTATATATGCATACACAGTGATAGAGGATAGCAATTGCACACATATACAGAGAATTTCAAAATAACAATAGCAATATAATTACAAACAAGATTCCTGATTACTGGCCAGGTGCAGTGGCTCATGCCTGGAATCCTAGCACTCTGGGAGGTGGAGGCGGGTGGATTGCCCTGAGCTTACAGGTTCCAGACCAGCCTGAGCAAGAGAAAGACCCCATCTCTAAAACTAGCCAGGCATTGTGGGGGGCACCTGTAGTCCCAGCTACTTAGGAGGCTGAGGCAAGAGAATCGCTTGAGCCCAAGAGTTTGAGGTTGTTGTGAGTTGTGACACCATGCACTCTACCGAGGGCGACAAAGTGAGACTCTGTCTCAAAAAAGAAAAAGATTCCTGAATACTATTTAAGATTTCTCGGTACATTACATCCTTAGGCTATACCTCACCAGGATGTATAGTAAAAATACCGTATTTAAAATAACATGGGGCTCAGCGCCTGTGGCTCAACCGGCTAAGGCGCCAGCCACATACACCAAAGGTGGCGGGTTCGAATCCCCAGCCCGGGCCCGCCAAACAACAATGATGCAACCAAAAATGGCCAGGCGTTGTGGCGGGCGCCTGTAGTCCCAGCTACTTGGGAGGCTGAGGCAGGAGACTCGCTGGAGCCCAGGAGTTGGAGGTTGCTGTGAGCGTGATGCCACGGCACTCTACCCAGGGGGATAGCTTGAGGCTCTGTCTCAAAAAAATAAATAAATAAATAAATAAATAAAATAAAATAAAATAACATGGAAAACCCCTTCTCTGTTCCATCAGATCAATGTACAATTATTTGTTTTACTATATTTTGATGTTTCAAATTACCTTGAGTTTTAGGGATTTTTTTTCCTTCTTTAATTTTGTTTTATAATTACGTAAAACCCAAGGTTCCAAAGTCAAAACTACCAAATGAGGTGCTTCCAGAAAACCCCATCCTTCCCACTCTTTCCCCTGATAACTCCTTGAAGGTAACTTTCTTGTTTTTTTTTTGAGAAAGAGTCTCACTCTGTTACCCAAGCTAGAGTGCCATGGTGTCATCATAGCTCACAGCAACTTCAAATTCTTGGGCTTGAGAGACCCTCTTGCCTCAGACTCCCAAGTAGCTGGGACTACAGATGCCCACCACAACACCCAGCTAGTTTTTCTATTTTTAGTAGAAACGGGGTCTCATGTTGCCCAGGCTGGTCTCAACCTCCTAAAGCTCAGGCTGTCCCCCTGTGTTGGCCTCCCAGAGTGCTAGGATTACAGGCATGAGCCACCATGCCTAGGTAACTATTTTAATTAACTTTTTTGTTCTTTTTTCCCTGGTTTGTGCCTGAAAACATAAATAAATACTTAAATGTATTCAGATTTCCAACTCTTCTCATGCCATCTGCAAAGTTGCATGCGTACATACACACTGGCCTGTACCTTGCTCTTCCTCTCCTTACAAATGCAGCCAGGACAGTCGCTCATGCCCGTAATCCAGCAACTCAGGAGGCTAAATCAGGAGGACTGCCTAAGGACAGGAGTTGCTTGATGCCAGCGTGGGCCACACAGTAAGATCGCACCTCTAAAAAAAATTTTTTTTTTTTTTTTTTTTTGAGACAGAGCCTCAAGCTGTCCCCCTGGGCAGAGTGCCGTGGCATTACAGCTCACAGCAACCTCCAACTCCTGGGCTCAAGCGAGTCTCCTGCCTCAGCCTCCCAAGTAGCTGGGACCACAGGCGCCCGCCACAACGCCCGGCTGTTTTTTGGTTGCAGCCATCATTGTTGTTTGGCGGGTCCGGGCTGGGGATTCAAACCTGCCGCCTTAGGTGTATGTGGCTGGCACCTTAGCCGGTTGAGCTATAGGTGCCGAGCCTTTTCTTTTTATTTTGAGACAGAGTGTCACTATGTCACCCTCGGTAGAGCGCTGTGGCATCACAGCTCACAGCAACCTCGAACTCTTAGGCTTAAGCAATTTTCTTGCCTCAGCCTCTTTAGTAGCCAGGGACTACAGGCGCCTGCCACAATGCCTGGCTATTTTTTTTTCTTATTTTAGTTGTCATTGTTGTTTAGCAGCCCCAGCCGGCTCGAACCTGCCAGCCCTGGTATATGTGGCTGGCGCTATAACCACTGAGCTACGGGTGCCAAGCCACCATCTTATTTTTTTTTTTGTCTCATTTTGTCACCCTCGGTAGAGTGCTGTGGCATCACAGCTCACAGCAACCTCCAGCTCTTGAGCTTAGGTGATTCTTTTGCCTCAGCCTCCCAAGTAGCTGGGACTACAGGCACCCGCCACAACACCCAGCTATATTTTTTTTGTTGCAGTTTGGCCAGGGCTGGGTTTGAACCCACCACCCTGGGTATATGGGGCCAGTGCCCTACTCACTGAGCCACAGGCACTGCCCCAGGATCTTATTTTTTAATCAAGCCTCAGTCTTGTAGGACAGCTTAACTGATGATCCCACATGACCAAAAGTGGCAGAACTAGCACTTGAACCTGGGTCTGAGAACAAGGCCCGGGCACCACTGGACTCACAAGGAGGTTTGTGGCGAGGTCCTGTGTCCTCCCTCCATCTCTCCCTGGAGGCTGCTTTCTCATCTCTTGTCTTTCTTGGACTCACAGGCCATGGCCAGGGCTCCAGTTTTCCCCACTGACAAGTTCTCAAGGTGACAGTCTTCTCCGCTTGTGTTGATCTTGGTCCTGGAAACCCCTCCCACCTTGATCTAGGTACCCTCCCCTGTGTGTGTCCCGGGGTAAGGCAAAGAAGGGATATTTGAAGTGATACAAAAGAACAGAAAGAGAAAAATTTTAATGGCAAATATCTAAGATGATTTTATTACATCTCAATGCTAAAGGGAGGCTCGGCCTGGTTTGTGATTTACACAGATCAAAGTGAATGATTTCACAGGGGGATAAGCAGGGCTCCCTCTCGCTTCAATTTCTATCCAGTTTCCATTGGTGACGTTCAACTCCAGTCTCTTCTCACACACTTAAACCATCTCACTTGGGGGATGACGGTTTCTCCTATTTTAATCAGATATTCAATAGCTGCCGCTAGGGGGCTGATGCAAGGGGGGGACACACGTTCCTCCTCCTGGCGGGGCAAGGTGTGGCTGCGTGGGCGGCTTCCTCTGCCGCAGGCTCCGGCTTGAAGCTAGTTAATAATAGTATACTCTCCTAACTTTCTTCTTCTTTTTATTACATTTTTTTATGGACTGGAGGTCTTTGTCGATCTTGCTTAGGTAAGACTGCAGCTGGGCACACTCTGTAAAAAGAAGGTTCATTTGGAAAAGGTCAAACGTTGGAGGGTCCTCATGAAAACCAAGGAGATGGCACAGCCAGACACCATGCCCCACTTTGAATTTATGGGAAGAATTCTTAATTCCTCAGAACCCCCTCCCTCTTTCCATTCCATTGGCTTCAGGCATCTTCACTGAGTCTGAATTTGGGCTTGTAGCTTCCAGAATCCAAGGGGTGGTGTGCTGAAGAGGGTTGTACCCTTGGACCTGGGTCTCTCAGAGGGTCTAGAGGTGTTCCCTAATAAGTAGAATGCAAGAGGTCTGCATTTGGCTATTGCCTTGTTTTGTAACTCACCTCAGTTCCTTAGGTCATCTTTCATTGATGGGGGTGGAGTTCTAGCCACCAGAGTTTCACCCAGTGGGGGTGGAGTTCTACCTACTATATAGCTGGGGTAGATACAATCACTGCTACACAGAAATCTGGGCCTGCAAGAAGGTGGGGCAAGAGGATGCCTACTTCTCTGTTCTATTATCAGCAAAGGGAGGCCACAATTCAGATCCCTTGGTCAGGGGCAGGGGAAGAAGCCCTCTTACTATCTTCTGGGAGTATAAGTAGTGACCCTCAAGAGCAAGTTTCAGAAGGGAGGGCCACAGTGGCTCACAGGCACATTGCCATGTGGGGCCTAGAGCCCACGTCTAGGAGTTCAGAGCTCCCACACCAGGACAAAGGGGAAGTGACCCCCCAGTGGAAAAGCATTTAAGAGGAGGAATGTGGGAAACCATCCAGTTCATTGGTGCCTGTTGCAAGAATAGTGTAGAATTTTATTTAGGAACAACACAAAATTTAGAATGAGGAGACAGATCAGTGTAAGAAGACATCACCTTTGGAAAAAGGAATCGTTGCTGCTAATATCATATATAGTAGAATATGGGGAAATGATGATTATGGCTGACATTGGTTAGCTGATAAAAGTGAACAGGAAGGAAAAATGGGGAGAAAATCACAATAAGCCTTCCTTGGGGAAGGGGGGAAGGGGGGAATGGAAATTCGTCTACCTCCTTGCAAGGTCTTTTGCTGTATGAAAGACACACATTAAGGTAGAGTGATATGGAGTGGGCAACACCGATTGGAGAACAAGTCCGTTGTATCAGGGGATGGCACCAGGAAAGTGGAATAGCAGTAATTTTGCAAAGGCAAGGGATTTAGGGAATAGACATCGATAGTGCACCACAACTTTACATAGGAGCCGATAAAATAAAGAAGGGAAGGTTGAGGAATATTTACATTTTTTCAAACCCAGAGATGAGGCGTGCCAGGAACAGAGGAGGGGGATGACCTAATGAATCAGAGGGTCCAATGAAGGCTGGACCACCCGTGCTACTTCCAGGACCCTCGTGTCTGGGGCTCAATCCTCAGGCAGATGTAGTAAGCAATGTGTGGCCTAGTGAACTCTGAGAGGACGCACAGGAGGATCTGGAGATGGGTTTGTAACACAGACCAAGATAAAGTGCATAGGAAGTCATTAGAGTTGGGTTTCGTGAGGGCAACTTCAACCTGCATTCTTGCAAGAGCACCTGGATGTTGTCATCCCCATCCTCCTCCTGTCTCTAACCAAGAGAGAGACCTCCAGGGGAGGTCATACACCACATAGTGGTCCGTCCTTGTCTCCTCTGCTTCGCTCACTGGCCTCACTGCCTGGACTAGGAAGATGAGTCTTTGCCCTCTGCCCAAGCCCCATCTGTCCAGGGTAGGCCCATCTGGGCCTCTTGATATTTAGATGACTCTCCTTCGCTTACTATCACCAGAAGAGATGGGTCCACCCAGGTATTTTGCAAGTTTTTGTAAAACTGCAAAATGCAAACTAGAGTGGATCTCACTCACCCTGATTAGGGAGGTGCAGGAAGTTGGCTTCCACGACTCTGTCGTTTAGGGGCTGGGTCCTGCGATAATCGTTGCGGATGGTCTTGTTACGGTGATCCAATAAGGAACTTTCTAGCTTCAAAATCTGTGGATGACAGGAGTTACAGAGGTGAAGAGGCACTGGATAAATTAAAACGTCAATGATGAATGGACTATGCGTTGGATTTATAAAACCCTAATAAAGTAAGATGTCAAGTCCAGAGGTGGTTCTGGGTACTACGATGTGCCAGGCATTATTCCAGAACTCATCTTCCCGTTCGTTCTTCTGAGAGAGGATACCTGGAAAAAGTAAGGTCTAAGAGAACAGAGGTCTTCCCAAGGAGACCCCAAGGATACACCTGCAAGGTCCTCCCCAAGGTGACTTAGCTCTTAGGAATCTGTAGAAACTTAACTTCTTGGGACCTGGAAACTAATGTTTGCTTCCACTTCTGTAAAAGCCCACAGTTCTGTAAAAGCTGGAGCCAACTTCTCCAGCTTGATTCAAAATGACCAATGAGAAAGGTGTCCGTGGGCTGGACCTTTTTTGACTGGGGATAAAAGGAAGCTTGAGCCAGTCAAAGAGCGTGGCCATTTTGAATCCTTCTGTGCAGTCACTCGGCCCACTGAAGCCTGGCTGAAATAAAGCCCTTCCTCTTTTCTTTTTTTTTTTTTTTTTTT